TATCGTTTACTGCGGGTCGATAGTTAAAATTCCGATGACGTGGGGTACCGTACCTGTACCCACTTCTTTTTTAAAAACGTCCCTGGCTTAGGTTTCTAACAGACGTGATCTTTGAGACCGGCGTCTGAGCGCTGTTACACGGTTCCCTTATCTGTGTGTGTCGCGTGTGTTCTGTGTCAGTAAATTACCTAGTTGTGTTGCAAGTACCGTGCAGCTCTTACTGAAACTAAAATGATAGTTGTAGAAATTGCTGACCGTACAAACGTCATAAAATTTTCTCTACATAGCATTGCATTCAGCTATAAAATAGTTTCTCTCTCTCTCTCTCTCTCTCTCTCTCTCTCTCTCTCTCTCTCTCTCTCTCCCCTCTCTCAGGGAATGGGACCCTGTTCTCTCGCGTGGCAGGCAGGAAACTCACCACTACGACCACCAACGACACACACGACTTTTAGCGCGAACTTCTCACAGAAATCACACGTGATGACGTGGCGAATGGTTTCCACACAAATTCCAGCTTTTGCACAGCCCGTGAAGGACACATTCAGCGGGCGTGCGGCGAGGAAGTGAATTTATTATTCCGTTCACGAGCCTAGTGCCCCATTCCCGGCTCAATGATCACGGCCACAGTTCCTCTACGTTCTACCATTGGTGGATAGGCCACCAATTAACAAATAGCATTTTACTACATGCATAATTTTATTGTGCCTATTACTGTCGGCTGTAAACAATTGCAAATGTTCTGGATCGCACTTTGTTTTTTAGTATTAGAATCTTTGAATGTCATTCAGTTTCCGAGCCGTAATGACTTAAAAATGGGGTTAGCTTTTTTAGTAGCCTATTTTAATATTATGATATTATATCCTATATATTAATATTAATCTTCCTATCAATATTATCATTCTCATTATCACTATTACTCTCATGATTACCATGATAGTCATGGTAATAGTAATTAAGTTAAAAACAAGTACTGGTAAGAAAAGCTTAAAGACTACTACTACTACTACTACTACTACTACTACTACTACTACTACTACTACTACTACTACTACTACTACTACTACTACTACTACTACTAC